CCGCAGTCTGACGTTACAGGTACCCGGCGTGTACATCATTTCCAATCAATGTCTGCTATAGATTTTGTGTACAGCAGGGCCCGGCAATTGTGCGAGGTCTGGTTACGGAGCCCCCATGACTACACCCTGGCACACGTCTCCGCCATCCTCGGCTCCGGAATGAACACGCCGCCTGTTATCTGCTCCTCAGCAGCCGGATGAACTCCGGAGGAATTATGACTTTAATATCGCGGAAGACGAGGCGGTTTGTTTTGTGCAGACACAGGGCGCCGGGAGCAAAACCTCGCCACGCGCAGTCCTTAAATACTTTATTAAATCATCCAGCACACGGGGAGAAGCCTCCGTCCACATATGGGGCCCCCGAGGATCGATCCCTGCAAGAGAGGAGAGCCAAATCCCTTCTCTGTCCACATACAGAGGCTGGCACGGCCAGGGCAGAAAGAAGCTTTGGGCCTACAGGAGAGACACGCTGAGCCCCGGAGGAGATGGGACCTCCGTCCCTTCTCTGTATACACACAAGGACCAGGTGAGGGGTTCCATAACCTAAGAAGATAGATGATTAGGCCCCGCAGAGGCCGGGAGAGACACGCTGAGCCCCGGAGGAGATGGGACCTCCGTCCCTTCTCTGTATACACACAAGGACCAGGTGAGGGGTTCCATAACCTAAGAAGATAGATGATTAGGCCCCGCAGAGGCCGGGAGAGACACGCTGAGCCCCGGAGGAGATGGGACCTCCGTCCCTTCTCTGTATATACACAAGGACCAGGTGAGGGGTTCCGTAACCTAAGAAGATAGATGATTAGTCCCCGCAGAGGCCGGGAGAGACACGCTGAGCCCCGGAGGAGATGGGACCTCCGTCCCTTCTCTGTATACACACAAGGACCAGGTGAGGGGTTCCGTAACCTAAGAAGATAGATGATTAGGCCCCGCAGAGGCCGGGAGAGACACGCTGAGCCCCGGAGGAGATGGGACCTCCGTCCCTTCTCTGTATACACACAGAGACAAAGTATTCCGTAACCTGTAGAAAGTCAGGTTTAGGTTCTGAGAGAGGCATTCAGAGTCCTGCAGCAAATACAAAGTCCTTCTCCTTCCAAATACCAGGACGGCATTCCGTAATCTGCAGAAGATGGAAGTTTAGGTCCTATGGACAGTGGAAGAGGCATTGTGAAATCTGCAGGGAATTACACAGTTACATAGTATTTGGGGTTGAATAAAGACATAGGTCCATCAAGTCCAACCGATACAGGTCCGCGCATCATCTCATTCTTAGGGGTACTGGTACCCCCGGATATTACCTGTACCCCCGGATATTACCTGTACCCCCGGATATTACCTGTACCCCCGGATATTACCTGTACCCCCGGATATAAGGCTCCCTCAAGAAATTGTCCAAACGTTTCTTGAACAAATCTGCACTCTTGGCTGAGATGACGGCCGATGGCAGGGAGTTCCAGACCCTCGCCGCTCTTACTGTAAAGAACCCTCTTCGCCCCTTGTGCTGGAATTTCCCCCCCACCAACTTTAGGTGGAATACATGGGAATTGGAACTCCATCCCATGTATAGGAGCCCGGAAAACATCGGGCCCCCTTCCTATCAGGTGACAGAACTACGGAGATCTTCTACCCCAGCATTGCGTGTAGGACCGATGCTCTTCCTTCAGACTGACCTCGTGTACGGTCTGAAAGCAGCAAATCACGACCAGCTTCCATTGAGCGCTCACGTGGTGTGTGTGTGTGTGTAGAGTGTCCCTTCCTGGTCCTGTGGATGGGAGGAATGTCGCTTCCATTTGTCACCAGCCATGACTTGTGAAAGACATTTAAAGATGTGAAATCATTAGACTGGCTGCACAGAATCCGCTGAGCCCATTGATTTTGTCATTCTACAAATTGATTATATGATCTGTGGGAAGGGATTTCCGGAGAAACGGTCCCATGTCATGCCGGAGCCGACGTCTCACCCTGTGCGGAGCAATTTGGTGTCACTTCTCCGTAGGGGGCCGTGAGTGATTGATAACAGGCATTGTTGGGGCATCCCCACACACATAGAGGCAGCAACCAATCACGACACAGATGTAGACATTTCTCTACAAGCTCACACGGGACAGAACTTCCGCACGGCCGACATCAACTAATAACCATCATTAGGCATCAGTACTGCGTATCCCCATCCTGGCGCAGAGCACAGGAGTCCGGGGGGCCCCCAGGTCACGCCAAATAGTGTCATCAGGGAAAGCCGCCCACTATCATCTAACCTGTGGCTCAAACACGCCGGGGCCCCGGGCTTATGAAATCAGACATATCATTAGCGTACATATGGACGACGCGCTGGGTGTGAAAGGCGAGGGAGTTACAGACGGAACATAACGAGTCGCTCATCAATAACCCCGGAGGAAGAGGCTCTCCTGACAGAGACGTGTTTCATCTTACACGAGAAATCAATTACACTCTCTCCCGGCCGGCTTTATTGAACAGCGAGAGGGACTGCCGGAGCGCAGAGTATAAATCGGACTTTTCATTCAATAAGAGTCATTATAGCAGAGCCGGGATATAGAGCTTGTGCAGGTGCCGTGTGATGCCGTGTGATGCCGTGTCTGACAACCAACACTCTGCCTGACCTGCTGACCCTGGTGCCCCGCTGCCAATACTCTGCTGCATCAATAACTGTATAGCTCGGAATGTTCTTACTGGCCCGCAGCCTGATGTTCTGAGCTCAGCCTGGTCTTTCCGTGTATCACCGCGTCATGTGGAGATTATTGCGCTGGGAGTAACGGTCGGTGGTGCGGCGATGAGATTATCACAACGGAGATCAATATTGTGTTCAGATGTAACACGGCTCCTCCGGTACTATTTACATGAATTGACTGCGGGCTCTTGTGTGACTTTTAGAACGCTGCGCGGCAATGTGACGCGGATATAATGCCAATATTTACAGAAGCGCATCCCACGCAGGCGGCATTAATGTTCTTCCTGACAAATCTGCGCCGCTCTTTAATATCGGAATGTCTCAA